AATTAACAATAATAATAATTATTATTAAAGATAAATTCATTACACGTAGACATCATTCATTGCTTTAATAATTAATAATCAATGCGCCCGTAAGAGTGTAAGTCTCTTGGGGCACATAGCATAAGATATCGCCCAGTATTAGACATAAAGGCTAAGATTCAGATGCGAGCATAATTTATCAATTACAAAACGCCCTTTAAAACAACAAGAGCTGAAGACTATTCTGATATGAAATGGTAGCGAATGATAACGAGTTCCATAACCTTACGGCCTTGATATAGGCCGTAGATAGGATTTAGATGCATCGTTCGCTCAGATCTCACGAATTCAATTTTCTCCTATTCCTATTCGGGTCGATACAAGCTTGTGCTGTGCTTGAAATACCGATTTCTAATATTAAGACATGTCGAAAGATCCGAACGCAATATCTGCAGTGAAAATAGTTTATGAAAAATCTGGAGGACATTACATTACATTCGTTTGTTATTTATGTATATCATTTTAATCTATCCGCAAACGCATCTAATTACTGTCGATTTGTAATTTTCAATACCTTAATACGAATCATCGGTTAGAGAGGTTAGTGATAAAGTGCTTTAGTAACAACTTTTGCAATACTTAACATATAATCCGGAAAATGGTATGGCATAGTATGGCAATCGAGATGTTCAAAGTAAAAATTGAATCTGAACACGATCGGAATGATCCGAATAGAATCGGTAATTTAAACACATTTATTAAAGTCGCGAATACAATAGCTTTCCTGATCGATCAGTTTCGGTTATACTCAATGACTGCACTTCCTAAACGCCATTTACCTATGGAAAACATTCCATACTCTACCGTATAATTATAACTGAAATAAGTTAGCGTTCACTACATTCGCTACACATGCTTTGCTATTTGAATATATTGCTTTTTGTCGAAATGAATCATGTTTGCTTATGTATCTGTCTCGGTAATCGACATTGTCTACAGATTTCAAGTCAAGATATTCTTAACACTCTTAAGCATTTAGTTTTCATTTTAGATCAAATTGATTGTCTGTTGATTTTCTCTTTTAGATTACACGCTCACTTGCGTTTACATAATGGTGAGACTTTTAATTGCAATCAATGTACAAAATATTTCACGACTTTGAGCGACCTAAAGAAACACATGCGTACCCATACGCAGGAAAGGCCATACAAATGTCCTGAAGATACTTGTGGGAAGTCATTTACGGCCTCGCATCATTTAAAGACCCATATACGGACCCACACGGGCGAGCGGCCATATCCTTGCGAGGAAACCAGTTGCCAGAAGTCATTCAGCACATCACATAGCCTTAAGTCTCATAAGAAAACCCATCAGAAAGAAACACAATTTCGCCCCACTAGAGAACGTAAATTAAAAACGAATAAAAGATTAATAACAGCTAAGAAATCGTTGAGCGGGGTTAAGAATGATTCGATAGCGTCTGCTGAGAAAGGGAAAACGCATATTTCTTATCCAAAAGATGATTTATACGAGGAAAAAGCCGAGCACGCTGCCGTTAGTGTAATTAAAACCGAAGCTGTTGAATATATCCCCCAAGACGTGTATGCACAGCGTGTTGATATGAAGCGGTCGGGATCGTCGCTGTTGGCACCAAAAGTTGAGTCTTTGAGCTTACCAGAAACGTCACAAGCCTTTCAAATTGCTTATGCGGCTGAAGAAGAGATACCGTCGCCTTGGATAGATTCAGCGATACTGGTACCCAAACCTATTCTCCCTATGGCACCTGTTACGTCAGCTTGTGTCGCTTTGCCCACCGAGGTAACAAGTTATGTGAATTTAACCGGCAATTATTCGAACAGTTTGTCTGACGCTAATGCTCCGCCAACAGCAATGCCGACTACAAACACAAGCAACAATATTGCTAATCATAACGATGCGGTTAATCATATACCAACTAACGTCGTCATGGACGTTGATGACAGTATTAATAATTTACGTAACGAGAACAATTCATTTTCGATTCCCATAAGTACGTTAAATGAAACCCTAGAAGATTCTATAGCTATACAGGAAAATATCGAAGATCTTCTAAAATATACGGATTACAGCAGCGAAGGCGATATTGAAACGGAATCCTTGCTAAATGATATCTTGATGACTATCGACAATGCCAGCCTATTACAAAAAACTTTAGAGCAAGCAGAAGACGTTCCCGCCGATGCTACCGGCCTCATCGAAGTAGACTTGCGTCGTCCTCGTAAACCGACCTTAAAACAAATTACTGCAGATGCTGGCATTTGCAGTTGCACCAATTGCAAATGCGATCATATGAAACATTGCCAAAGTAATTGCGCCACACCGTTAAGTTCTGGTAGTCATGAAGTTGAAACTCGAAAAACTGCTACTACTAGATATTCTAAAGATGAAAGCTCTCGTCGTAAAGAACATGCCCGTAAACAGGTCAGCCGGAGCGAAGCTGAAATTAATCAAAATATTGAGGATGTAGCCATGTTATTGCAAAATCTAGCTTCAATGAGTGGTGGTAAAGCCGGCGGTTGCTGCGGCGGCAATGTTCCCAACACATCTGCGCAAGCAGGTGCTATGAACACAGTAAGTGGTTGTTGTGGCACTATGACTGCCAATTCCAATAATGTTAAATTAGAAGAGGACAATCCTTGCTCATCGAACGCATTTAGCGGCAGTGGTGCAACTACTACCAGCAAAATGCCACCTTCGATATCCAACGCTACAAATAAAGCCATAAAAAATTCGATGTGCACCTGTAAGAGCCCGTCGGAGGGTGTCGCAAATGGTTGTTGTGTTGTGATTTGCATCAAAACGTTGCAGGCCTTGCGTAAAGTTCTGACCCGCAAAAATCTTAACCTAATGCTTTGCCCCCAGAGTCAAAACAACAATTAACTATCAAGATTAAGATGCTCCATGTGATAACTGTTATATGTATGGCAATGTTTTCTTTCTCTACGCCCTACTTTCGTTCTCGTTGTTTATTGACAAACTTATATAAACCAAAGATGTGTATACTAAGTAAATTTGTTTGTTTCGTTGCTTTTTCTTATGCTTTTCCATATAAAAACATTTCAATAAAATCTACACTACTTCATGGAAAAAGTACAAGTTTTTTCTTTTCGATTTTTTTTATTTTTTTTGTTATCATAGGTAAGTAAGCCTTTACTCCGTGAACATTTACAGAATATAATAAACGGAATACTCTAGAATGAAGCTATACATTATACAAAGTAATGCGAACGTAAATGAATTTCCCATTAATTAGGCTACGAATGGATTTCTTTTAAATGCCTTTTACCAAGATCTATAAATTTATATATGAGTATATATATATATATATATATATATATATATATGTATATATATATAGATAGATCGATTTTAATCTTCCCCGGCCGGTATGGCATCTTCAAGGCGTCTTATAAATTTAACTCGTACTTCGGTAACATTATCGCCTTTTAGTTGATCCTAATGAAAGGAATAAATAAAGCAAAAAAGGAAAATGCTGTCAAGTAAATATCTCAGGTAAATGTTGAAAATGTTGATAACTATACCTGAACAAACCAACACTGCACATCGAGCTGAACCATTTCAAGAGCGCCTCGTATGCAGCCAGTAATAATCGCACAGTAGCGTAAATTATTTAAATCTGGTGGTAGCTCAACAAACTCTGTCAACGGATTAGTTTCAAATTGCAATGAAAACTCATCAGATGCTGTCGACCAATTAGTTATTGACGGTTGTATATTAAGATAAATGCGAAACGCTTGTTGTATACGATCCGCGGTTTCACGCATTTCCATGCAACGTGGCGCTGAAGTGCGTGCCAAGAAATCTTCAATAAGCCGCATACCCATATTGTAGCCGATACGCTCCAGCTGCTTATTCACGTCCTCGACGTTCTCCAAATCGCGCAGCATTTGTGTTACTAGAGCTCCATAAGTTAGAGTTAGGAATTCCGAATTCTACGATTGTATGAATGAAGAGAAGAGGTTTTGTTTGGTATGGATGCCAGTGTTTTTCATTTCGTATAGAGTCCTAAGTTTTATTCTATTTTTAGCTACAATTTTTAACGTTAAGCACGCATCACACATGCGGTATAACTTTCGTAATTCTACATACAGCTAAATGTAGAGGCGGGAATTTGATATGAGAAATTGGGCTGGCTATTTAATAGCCGTTATGGTAATATTCGGTGCAGTTTGGTGGGGAGCTATAACCCTGGGTGGAGCACGGGGTGTACTAGCACGTGACTGTTGTAAAGATTGTTGTTGTTCTGATCCCGCCCCATGCTGTTGTTCGCCTTTTTCTTGAGCTGAATGAAAGCGGCCACCCTCGCCACGAATTCGATTCATAGCGTGACGATGGCGAGATTCGTGTAAGTACTTTGAACGCTCTTTAGGAATACGTGATTCTAATTTAGCTCTGGCTTGACGTCGTATAAGAATGCGTTTATATTGCTTCGCATTCACATAGAGTGGTTCCTCTTCTGGCTCATTTTGCCCGACCGCGTCATCAGAATTAGTTGGGCAACTCGATTCCGCCCCAGAAATTGAAGCCGTAGAAACAGTTGTAGATGAAGGTTGGTTGGTAGTAGTTGATGAAGCAACTGCACTTGCTGTAGAATTAGGCACGGCCACTGGAGTTGAGGCCGTTGCAACTGTGGCTGCTGCCTGAGGCATCATAATAATTTGCTGACCCAAGGCTGTGGCTGTACTACTAGGACCTTGTTGTTGAGTAGAAACTGCAGTCGCTATTTGCATAAGTTGTCCGTTAATGCTTATAAACTGTGGCTGTATGGTTGGCTGTGTACTGTTTGGAGGCGGTGTTTCACTCGTCACAGCAGGAGATTGAAAAAATAATGCCTGCCCATCGGGCAATTGCATGAGTTGCATAGGCTGTGACGTTTGATGCGGTTGCTGTAGCATTATTTGATTGGTCTGAAGAGGTATAAGTTGCGGTTGCAGACCAGCCATTTGCTGCGGCTGTTGTCCAATTATAATTTGAGCTCCTCCCCCTGCGGCCATTACAGGAATTGGTATAACTTGTATTTGATTTGTTCCTACCGTTGCATTAGTGGATATACCCGCTTCCGTTACCTGTTGTTGCTCGTTACTTGTATCTCCAGTAGTTGCATTCTCCATTTTCTTATGCTTCTACGAAGTTTACAGTTTTAACATGCCTTACTGTAAAATCGAATGAAGCCATTTTTGAGCGAGGGTGGCCACTCTACGCAACTCTACCAAAACACACTTATCTCATTTGCACCTATATTTCTCTTTTTTTCAACTTACCACTTTCTTTGGATCTAATCTAGAAGCTTGCCGAGACATATTCCAACTAAAAACTTAACTTTTATGTTTTCTTTCACTTAGCAGGATAATTTTAATTATAACCGTTAAATAAAACTGCGAAATTTTCACTCTCAATGCTAGCCTTATCGTTGCTATGTAAGTATTTCCCTGGTGAAGAGAACATGGGAATTCGACACGAAAAAACAGTGAATGATTATTATATTTAAGAAGCTGCATTTTGCAGTTAAAACCAATTTATACAGTGTTGCAAAACTTTATTACGAAAAAGTCAAAATATAAGTAAAATGCACTCAATGACTATGCTGTCGTTGCCAGATATTATATATAACAACAATAACGTAGTATCATTGCGTCTATTTTCATCCGACTTACATACTCTATAAATATCACTAGAACATAAATAAGATATCAAAGATACTGAGAAGACAGTAAAGAAAAAAAAAATAAAAACTAAAGCACAAAAGACTAAGAACAATATGATCCGAAAACCTAAATAAACACATATAATCATATAATATGTGTCTTTCCTCCAGTTTTGCCTTTTTGTATACCTAATCCTTTCCCGTTCATCATCCTTCCTATTGAAGCTTGGCAGTAATTATGTATCTTTTAATTAACTAGCTTTCATATAAAGGGCGTACGTTGAGAACCATTTGGTTGAGAGTTATGTATGGCTTTCGCCATTCAAAATTTGCTTCGAAAAATAATGGGAAAATAAGGGACAAAGTTGACGGTTACAATAATACAATCAATAACAAAACCATGCAAACGTAAATAAAAACTAGATTATGCAAAACTTTGCCTTTTATTTTTATTTTATATCTTTTTACATTGACGTATGAATTTGCCTATAAAATATGTATAATATTTTGAAATGAATTTTTTTATTTTTAATCAGCTTGTCAAAAGTAAACCCAACTTTTTTATTTGGATAAAAGCGGATTTATTCCGCATATTTTTTATTCCATTATTATATAATTTGAAGGTGTAGAAAACATGCCAATTCTTATTTCCTCACTCTAATTGGGAGATCTCCAGCGAAATGTCGTTAAAATAAAATGCAGGAGCTGCAGAAAATAAATTTTGGTATTCTGGGTTCTGCACTTTGTAGTGTTTGCAAATGTGGTGAAAGGATGCACAAATATATGCAAATTCTCCCATCTTCTATGATTCGTATCTGCTTTTTCGCTTTTCTATTAAAATACGCACCGATCTTAAAAAAATATAAAAGTTTAATTTAAAAAAAGAATTTAATATTTACCTTTATATACACGAAGATTAATGATTAATGATACGCAATTTATTATAACCATTGTCGTATTAAAAGTATTAATTAAGCAATTGGAGTAAAAGGTGAAATTAAAATACTATTATTATTATTCTTATTATTACTAATATTATTATTAGTATTATTATAATTTTAGACTAATGAAATAAATTCTTAGACTAAAAAAAAAGACATTGAGCGTTAGCAACACAGGCTATCGGCTCTAATTTAAATAAATGTATATTAGACAATGAGCTTAGTAGTATTAACAAAGTAATATATTGAATTGATATTTTGTTCTGAAGGTGATTGTAGAATGTCCAAAGTATTAATCGTTCCAAATGCAATACTTCTAGCCAAGGGAAAGTTAAGACAGTCGCAGAGAATGTGATTTATAGTGACAGTTTGTCTAGAACTGCAGATTGGGGAGGAAGACTTCTTCAAGATCCATTGGTGAGTTGCAATCGCCAGTAACGAAATGCATAGGGACAAAATACTTGTTTTTTTTTAAATGCAATACGATAACGAACTGTGAATGATATTTGTGATTTAATCTAACTACTTGTTAGTGAAGTGAAGGTGAATTTGTGAATTCAACACTAATGAACAATGAATTAATTTTGTGAATGATAACTTTATTCAAGAAGTAGCATTCGGTAGTTGCTCTGTCATCTTTTGACGATCCGCAAATTTTTAGAAAATTATTTGGCGTTGCATTCAATTACTAATTCTGTCAATAACATCAATTAAAAAGATGTCCGTACGTGTAATAAATGATGAAGCTCATTTTCAGTCGGAATTGGCTGCGGCCGGCATACGCTTAGTAGTGGTTGATTTTACAGCTGCTTGGTAGTTTATTATTTTCACGGTCATGTAATTAAAATTTTCACCATTTACATGTATTTATATAGGTGTGGGCCTTGTCAGCGTATTGCTCCACATTTTGAATTGCTTCCCGGTAAATATCCCAATGCGATATTTCTTAAAGTGGATGTAGACAAATGTCAAGACACTGCAGCTAGCCAAGGAGTTTCGGCCATGCCTACATTCGTGTTTTATAGAAATAGGGTACATTTTAAAGGTACTTCGGTTTGTTAGAAATTGATAACAATTTATGCATTTTAGACGAAAATTGATAGAATTCAAGGAGCAGACATTAATGCTTTAGAGGCCAAGATTCAGGAATATGCTGGTGCTAGTGGAGGCGATGAGGCCGGTGAAGATTACGGCCAGGGCCTAGTATGATCGAATGAACATTGAACTCCATCCAATAATATTGAGATTTTCCGTACTTAAATTTTCAGATGGATTTGAACAGCTTTATATCGAAACAAGAGTGTGAATGTCTTAATGAGTCAGACGATCATCCTTTAAGTCACTGTCTCGCTTCTGAGGGTGGCTATTTACAATCGGATTGTGATGAACAACTGATATTGTCTATAACATTTAATCAAGTGGTCAAAATTCACTCCTTGAAATTTAAAGCTCCAATGCAATTGGCACCTAGAGAAATTAAGCTTTTCATAAACCAACCACGAACCATTGATTTCGACCAGGCCGAAAGCATGACTAGCGTACAGGATTTGGTGTAAATTATTGTACATATATTTTCAGGGAGGTTTTATTTCTTATTTCTTCCTTTTCAGTTTGGATCCGAAGGATCTGGAAAAGGGGACACCGGTTAATTTGCGCTACGTTAAGTTCCAGAATGTACAAAATATACAAATATTTGTAAAAAATAATCAATCGGGTGCTGAGGTAACGCAAATTGATTATGTGGGTTTCATTGGCTCACCCTTAATGACCACTAAAATGAATGACTTTAAACGCGTGGCCGGTAAAAAGGGCGAAAGTCATTAAAGTCTGATCAATAAAAATCTTTATTTTAAAGTAAATAATATACAAATATATTCAACAAACAGCTTTAGTGATTGATTGTCTGGTTAAATGCATAACGAACCATAGCATGCGGAACTTCAGCAAGATCAGTTATCATAAATTATGCTTTGTTTGTAACTGTTTTTGCTGAAGCTCCTCTTTCAGCATATTCCAGGCTTTTTCGGCTTGTTTTTGGGTAAATTCAGGTTCCCATTGAGAGCTGAACACTACGTGCGAACGGGCGACAAGTTCCTTATTTGTTAATTGACTAGCTAGGCGGTCACGCGCTGCTGTTTCGGTTAAATTGTTACGTGCGACTACACGACGTATGGCCTCATCTAAAGGCACTAACATTGACCACACTTCGTGCACTTCTTTGTCCCAGCCAGCCTTCAAAAGAACAGCAGCCTCCAAAATCACTATTTTGATCTCACCTGGAATGATAGGTAAACCTTGAATTCTTCTCTTCACTTCTTTCAATAATTCTGGCCAAACAATATCATTTAATCTTTCCAACTCTTTGGGATTACTAAATACAATTGCTCCCAATTTAGGACGATCAATACGACCGTTATCTAAGATAGATCGACCGAAATGTTGAATAATCTTGTCATAGCAAACTTGACCTGGTTCGTATATTTCATGAGCTATTTTGTCACAATCCATTACGGTGGCCCCCAACGACTGGAAACGTTGCGTCATTTTACTTTTTCCACTGGCTATGTTACCGGTAAGCCCAATAATATAAATTTCTGATGGCAAATTTTTATGATATTCTGGTTGCCGTAAACGAGTGCCTAACAAGTCTATACGTGCATTGCTGGAACTAATTTTACTTTCTTTAGGCCCTTTTCGATCGGAATTTTCCACAAGATCAATGCAGTAGATGTCGAGTAGTTTTAAATTATTTTTAGCTCGAATTTCGTTAATCTTCTCACCACCGCGCAACGTCTCTGAACTAACCACAATCATATCCATGTTAGGATCGCTGTTTGTAGGCCCATATGGATCATCTATAGGTACGATTTCATAGTGAAGAGTAGAATCGATCTCCTGTAAAAACTCACGTAATTCAGAGATTCGCTGCTCCACCGGTAAAATCAACTCGTTCAAAATTTTTGCTGAAATGATAAGCTAAAATTTAAAATTGAATAGACCAATGCGAAGAGACGATTGCTTATACATTTTGTCATCTTTTGCGTAGTAACGCCCACCACTAATCGCCTGCAGGCTCTTAACACAGCTTGCGTAAGAAATATTTTATGACCTAGATGAATTCTATCAAACGTTCCACCCAAGACAACGTTTTCATACACTTGTAATTTATCCAGAGGTTTAGATTGTTGATGCTCGCACAAATCCGTTACAACTACATCATCGGCCAAATAAATGGGTGGTTTCTCGATTTGCAATTGTTGTCGCAATTGCTCGCATACTTCGGTACAACGGGCGTCGGAGAATATCATATCAATTGGTTTAAGTCGAAGACTATCAAAAGTGCCTTGCTGTTTCAGCGGACCCACCAAAATATTCATGTTCAGCTTTTCACAGGAAGTTAATAAAGTTGCACCATCGACGTAAAGTTGTGATATAAAACGACCCCAAGAAGGCACTGGAGTTGCACTACCAGGTACATTGATATGCACATAAAGTGAGTGAACATATTTTTCAATGGCTTTCAAAGTCTGTGGTGTTTGTTTAAAGTTCGATATAACCAATAATCCAGTAGAAGCCATATTTTGTTTGTTTATTCGTTTGTTTAAGAAGGATGGATTAAGTCTGTTGACGATATATTCATGCGAAGAACTTTGGACAATGTCAAAGATAACAAATTTCATTTGCATAACGTCAAAATTGTCCCACTCAATAAATTTTTCAATTGAAGGCAATCATGATGTAGTAATACTGGTACTTGGCAACATTGCCGTAGTAAAAACACGTCACAAAAACCAAATTTTAATTATGCTCCAATTGTGCGGATTATATTTAAATATTTAGATTTTTTAACCATTCCAATAATCTATTGAGTATGGAAGCATTGTACCATCAAACGAATCGCATTTTGCAAGAAATAGAAAAAAATTTCCAGAAGCTGGTGCAAACTAGTGGAGCTCCCGAAAATTATGATGTAGAAAATGAAATACAAATGAGAATCACGCAAGTTAACTCGTAAATTTGCAGACCTCTACTTCATATAAATGATAGTAATAATTGCCGCTTTTTGCAGGAATTGTGATCGTTTAGATGTTTTACTTTATAAAATACCCGCGTCGCAGCGGCAAAATGCAAAAATGCGTGTCGATCAGCTTAAGTATGATGTCATGCACCTGCAAAGCTCTCTTCAGTTATTTAGGGAAAAGCGCCAAAAAAGGGAAGCGGAATTGTCGGAGAGGGAACAGTTATTGAGTCACAGATTTACGGCAAATAATAATGAAACATGCCTAGACATTGACTATGCTCTGCAGCATAATAATCAGTTGGACAATGTTCATCGTGGTGTTGACGAAATGTTATCAAGTGGCGGTAATATATTAAGCAGTCTGGTTAATCAACGTAGTACACTGAAAGGAGCTCAAAAACGCATAATGATTATTGGCAGTACGTTGGGTTTATCTAATCACACCATGAAATTAATTGAAAGACGTATTGTCGAAGATAAATATGTGATGGTTGGTGGCATGATTATAACACTGATGGTCATATGCCTGGTCGTCTATTTTATTGTATTATAGTTGTTAAATTTTTTCTACTGCTGCCCTACGTTGCGTTTATTTAAATCTTTCTTAAGACTCTGTGACTTTTCATAATATATTTCAAGTTACCTTCCAATAAGGAATTTGACAAAGATTTTTATAATAAAAATTTAGCGGATTACTATTAGAGGTCTCAATAGGTACGACTTCAGTTTTTCAATATGTATTTCTAAGCCGTCATCTACCCTTAAATCATCGGTGACGTATTTTTTTATTGATGTGTCCACTTTTCTTCGGAGTTATACTTGAGCTGGAAGGCAATTTACTTTTAGTTGAAGTCGCGCTTGGAGTCCCTGGCTCTTTGCTAATGTCACGCTGTGGTGTAGCAGCCCGTTCCGATTTATCATCTTTACCAGAACTTTTAATACAGGTGGTTCCGTCATGCACTGTGGTTGTGTTTTGATTTAAAGTTATCTGATTATCGCTAGAGTCTTCATTCGTCACTGAATCAGACTCACTAGCTCGTTCGGCTAAAATAGAACAACGAATGCTTACGGAGCGGTCAAATAATTTATATGAAATACCTACGGTTACATATTGCCATCGACGTAATGCTAGATTTTGAAAACAATCGTTCCGCTTCTTTAAACTTTCGATTACGCTTGTCTGCTTTAGAGTTTGTTGCCTTATTGGAAGTTAAATATCTTTCCCAGCCTCTTATAATATTCCCACATAATTGAGTATCTTCTAGGTAGGAACCTTCAAAAGCATATATTTGCCTTTCCAAATTTGCCAATTGCTCCTTCACACGGTAAATATAAAAATTATAATGACTGCTAGAAATTTATAGCTTATTTTCGACACTTACGGATGTTTCCGCCTTTTTCTTTATGAGATCTGCTAACTCTGCTCGAGTATCTAAATTTGTCGATTTAGAATTCGAACTATTTTTCGAGGACTTTCTTTGTTTATTGGACACTGTGTCATTGTTCGATTTAGTGGAGGGTGAACTCATTTTAAAATTTTATTAATAATAACTATTTTCGTCTTACGCAGTTTATAAACAAAGCGATCAGCTGTTAATACACATAAACCGAAAGTATATACAAAAAACCTGAGCTTACCGTATTTCACACCACTAAAAAAAATATGCATAAAATTTTCTACAAATTTTACAACGTTATATATGAAATATATGCAATTTTTCTCCCAACTGCACGGTATTTTTCAACGCTATAAAGCTATAATAAATTCTTCATCATGTTCGCTAAAATAAAGGACATCTATTATATACGTTACAAAAACTAAAAGTTTATTTGTTTATAAAATAGGATAGCTGCAAGCTCAAATGTTTTAATAGGACTGAATACGCCTTCAATTTTATAATGCTATAAAGTGAAACAAATATTTTTTCCCGTGTAAGTAGTAGGTGGCAATATATCTTCTTTTTTTTTAATAAAAATCTAAACGTTCACTTTAAAATTTAAAATATTAACGTGTGCGTACGTGTAAAGTTAAAATGTTACATGAGATTCACAAACAAATCTTACTTTGGTAGTTTATGCGTGATGCAATGTGCAAACGCAGTCATTGTGTTCAGCAATTTAGTACTTCTCGTTCGACGTTGATCAGAGTTTGTCGTACCTATTTAATTAAATTGGGTCGGATGAAGAAAACTAAATGATACCAGAAAGCTGGTCATAATTGTTAAAGATCGGCAGCTCGTACTAGGCTTCGCGCTCTATTACCTGCAAGGTAATCATGCTTGTGATATATAACTTTCGCTTGCCAGTAAGTCGATAATTGAGGAACGTTTTTGTTTGTGAATATGTAAGATTGCCATGAGTTTTCATTGCTTTCATTCTGGGGTAAATGAAAAAGCAAAGAGATATATTAATATTCCGGTTTAGCATAATTATAGCAAAATTTACATTAATACGATACGATAAATTTCTAATGTTTCTTTCTAACCTGCCAAATAGTTTTTTTTTTTTCTTTTTAACAAGTTCTTATTCCACGCAATAGTCGTGTTTTTTTTTCAAGTTAATCTCGATATGCTTCGTGATTTTCTCTAACCAAAACATCTTTTTTCTAAACTCATTTTCATGAGGTGAATTACTGTAGAACTTAAGGTACGGTCGCTTTGAGACGAATATTTTATGTGAACTCACATATTCATCCTATACATTGAAATGTTTGATCTATAATGTAGTTTTTATTCTTCGCTTCTCGTATACTTTTCTTAAACACTTTAATAAGCTTTTAACAAAATATACTTAATGATAACAATAACACTCGTAAAATATAAATGTTTCAATTTATAATAGAAAAAAGCTGTTTTCTTCATGCCTTAACGCAAATTTGTATAGAAATGAAGGTAAATAATGCACGCAACAGCTGATTTTAATTGAATGCGATCAAATGGAGAATTACGTTGAAATTAATTTTCGCGAATACGAATATTACGATAGGCCAAGTATAGCTTTTATTCTGATAACCTTAAATTACCCAAACATAATTTCGCTAAGAAACTGTTATTATGTATGTACCTAACTTAAGTGAAAGATAATGCGACGAGTAAATCTGAAATACTTTTAATATATAGCACAAAAACAAAAAAGATTGCTAGACTCTTATTCAAACTGAAGTCAAAGTCCACTCTTTTGATTTATTGGAATTAACCATAATTAAGGTTGAAAAGTATGAAGACTACGGCAATAAATGCCACAACATCGTTAATACTGGCTTTTAAATTGAGCAAAGGTGTCGCGCGACTAACGCAACCTATTTTAGCAAACCATTACAAAAAGTTCGTTCCAATAGTTGGTATTAACCAAAGTATCTCCAAAAATAGATATTGCAGCAATACGTTTGCAGCTAATAGTAGCATGAAACGTTTAGAGGGGAAAGTAGCAGTAGTCACTGCATCCACTGATGGGTGAGAAGAAATATGAAATGCATACACATACTGCGATACGTTTAAATAAAATTTTTACTTTCTAGTATTGGTTTTGCTATAGCAAAACGTTTAGCTCAAGAAGGTGCCAATGTGGTGATAAGCAGCCGCAAGCAGAATAATGTTGATAGAGCTGTAGAGGAATTGTGTAAACTGCAATTGAATGTTGTTGGTTTAAAGTGTCATGTTGGCGACGCAAAAGATCGCAAAGAATTGTTTGAGGGTACCATACGAAAATATGGTAAACTTAATATATTAGTATCAAATGCTGCAACAAATCCAGCGGTTGGTGGTGTCTTAGATTGTGACGAAAGAGTTTGGGACAAAATTTTCGATGTTAATGTCAAGTCTTCATATTTACTGGCTAAAGAAGCCTTGCCATGGTTACGCAAAGAGAAAAATTCTAACATTGTGTTCGTCTCCTCTATAGCCGGTTATGATGCCTTTGAGGTACCTATTATGCATTGTATACCGATAAAGTTCCCCTTTCTAATTCTATTGTGTTTAGCTATTGGGTGCTTATTCTGTTAGTAAAACTGCTCTCATTGGCTTAACTAAAGCGGCTGCGAAAGATTTAGCTTCGGAAGGTATACGAGTAAATTGCTTAGCGCCCGGTATTATAAAAACGAAATTTTCAAAGTCGGTAAGAAATCTTCGAACTTTTATTAAGCGTTCTTTCAAAAAGGAAGAAAAAAACTAGTATTAAATTCATTTACAATTATAGTTATACGAATCGAAAACGGCTGAAGAGATGGTCTTAGCTAGAATCCCAATGCGTCGTTTGGGTATGACGGAAGAAATGGCTGGTATAGTAGCTTTTTTGGTATCTGATGATGCCAGCTATATTACTGGTGAAAGTATAGTGGCAGCTGGTGGTATGTGTGCACGATTATAATTCCATAAGCATTATTATAAATCGTCTTAAATGGTTATTAAACTATATAATACATATTCTTACGTTGATCTTAATTTAGCTAATTGTTCTGCTATGTCTTTATCAGTTCGTATATCTTTCACTTCTAAATCACTTGAACCGGCAGCCGGTATATTAGCCATTTTACCCGAAATTTCGATGCCAATTTCATCTAAGACTTTGTTGACTACAGCATTAGTTTCTTGTTCGTCATCGGAATCATTAAGCATTTCATCCAATGTATCATTAATCATTTCATCAGTCATTTCCATTTTCATATTGGCCTGTTGAAAGTCTCTAACATTCGCAGCTATGCCTTCCGGTCTCAAGACTTTATTCATTTCGGCCATAGTTTTAGCTGTTGTGCCCATTGCATTACTTAAAGCCACATTAGTACCAATTGTTTTATTCTGGTAGCCAATCGAAGTTATTTTGCTGTTGGCTGCGAATGTTCGTGCTTTTTGCTTACGTATTTCAACTAATTGCTTTGCAAGTATCCGACATACATCACTGTTGCCTTGGGCGGCGTTTTTCCGTATTTCTTGCTCTAATTTTTTCTCCTCCTCTTCTAATTTCCGACGTTCACGTTCAATATCTCTGGTTGCTTTTCTTAGATTCCTATCATTTTCACGCTGTTGTTCCTTTAAAGTCGGAGCTTTTCCAAATAAGTTATTAAACATTTTTCAGAGGTTATGATGTCACTTTGAATTTAAAAAAAGTTTCTCAAGATGAATCACAAATTACATTAAATCAGACCAAAACTCAGACGAATAATAACAATAAGGACAGCTGTTCGACACAAACATCTCTGTGTTATTGTGATCATTTTGTAGAGTTGCTATTGTCAACAGTGCAAATGGTCGATTGAACGAGATTAACATCTTCAAATACAAGTTCTTTTGTATTACATTTTCGTGGTTAAAACGTTTGAAATTATGCTTAATTTTAACCAAGAAGTATTCATAGATATGAGTCATGTTTTCAGAAATGGAATGATGAAATTTGTTAAGTTTAGTAATCTCCGATTAGTCAATCGATTTGACTGAGTAATCATGTAATCTGTGCTAAGATGAATATGCAGACGTAAAAAGATACATGAAGTGACGTGTTTAATAATTCGTTCACTTTTACGTACGATAGAAAAACATTTTCACATAACGCTATTATTAAAATTGATAACTACTAATATTATTAATTATCCACTAAATTACAACCTTTGTTTACATTGTTCTTGTATTCTGTAAAAGAAATTTGAACACTTTTTCTTTCAGTAGTATATTTATTTTTAAGCAACATCACAAATTGTTGCAATGTGTAAAAGCACACGCACTTTACGGCTGCTGATACGTCTTCATGCAACTTGAATTAAATGCACATTAACAGGGACGTTTGCAACGCAAAAAGTTGAAGTCAATGTTTTCTATGGAAGGTTTACTAAAACAAGGTGCCGAAGGGCGCTTATATTTAGGTGAATACAAGAGTGGAAAATGTCTTATTAAAGAACGATTTGTTAAAAAATATCGTCATCCGGACTTGGATCAGCAGATTACACGACAACGTATGAAAGCTGAAAGTAAAGCGGTTAGCAGATGCCAAGCTGCTGGTATATTGGTTCCCCGAATGTTACATATGGATTTGCCTGAGCGTAAAATCTATATGGAATTTTATGAAAATGCTGTAACCGCTAAAGAATATATAGAGCGAGCGGTAAAGGAACAAAAAGAGCAAAATGAACAAAGAGAGATTCTGAAGACGTTGTGTGAGCGTGTAGGAAATATTATAGGATGCATGCATGCTCACAATATAATACACGGGGATCTAACGACATCAAATATTTTAATCAATCCTAAAGTCAATAACAATTTTATAGATTATGAAGTGATATTTATAGATTTTGGGTTAAGTCACTACAACCAAGGCGCGGAAGACAAGGGTGTAGATTTATATGTTTTAGAACGGGCTTTGTTAAGCACCCATAGTGAACAACCATATTTATTTGAATACATATTGCAGGCTTACCGCAAACAATGCGGGGAAGATGAAGTATCAGTAGTGGCAAAATTTGAAGAAGTACGAGCAAGAGGTCGTAAAAGGACCATGATTGGTTAACATACTTCAAAATTCAATTTATTTTTAGAAATAAAAATTACTGCAAACTTATATATGTACTTAATCTATTTTGAGGGTTTGATTGTCTCTTCTTTGAAGGTCGTCTGCAAACTGAGTTTCATCTCCTTTAAGATTTTCTACTTTGATTTTCTTGATATATTTACGTAGCTTTTGCTTACGTGCCAATTTTTCGTTCTTTATATTTTCCAATCCATCTATCGTATCCTCTTTATAATAATCATATGGTCTTTGTCTGAGCTTTTTGATTGCATCGTCTAACTTTAAGCCTAATATACCATGTTCTTCTTGGTATAAACGATACTTATCGCAGAACTTCATATGATTTTTCTTGAACGTTTTAGTTTTTGTCCAAGGACGCTAAAATCATTGGAACGTTAAGAAATTAAATATAATATACAATGGCTAGTAAGAACTTACTCGGGCATCGATTGCTCGGGCACATTTTATATAGAAATTATCCAAATGTCTCAAAAATAAAGGGTTTGGCTTGACATTCTCGTCCAAACTAATTTGCATAATTTCACAGACGTAAGGAAATGAATTGTGTTCGCAACCTTGGCGTAGCATAGCGCCTAAAATTTCAATGTTCATTCTGAAAGGGAAATAAGTTAAGATATATGATATCATTTTTGTTTTTACTCGTTACCTAATTTCATTATCGTTCATTTGTCGCAAAAGCTCTCGTGAAGTTTCCTCATTAGTACAACCCAAAGCTAGAACCCCGTAAGTAACAATATCTGGCTTTAATCCGGCTGTTTTAATCATTGTTAAAACCTCTTTACCTCCTTCGTAGTCGCAGCGCATAGAACGCTTCTTGATAAGAATATTAAAGAAATCTATATCGGCCTTAAGGCCAATTTTGCGTATAAAAGTCAATAGTTGTTTTTCGGCAGTATTGGTAGGCGGTATTACTTCCAACATACTAGTGAATGTTTCTATGTCCGGTGTTATATTACAAGATTTCATGAGTTCTAGGAAACAGCTAAGACCGCCTAAGAGTAAAAAACGTTCATGCGGCTTCTGCACCTCAGCGAGCGATATCATGCTACCTAAATGTGGTCGAGGCGCCAATAGGTTGGGCAATTCCAAACTAGTTGCATCTGTTTGCACTTGCAAAGCCTGGTTTATGGTGGCTTGCGGTTGTAGAGAGGATTTTTTAGAGTCTGTGAAAGGATTTTTAGTTTTTCCAATCTCACTTGAACTCTCATGATTTAATATCGGCAGAGTTTCTTCAGCGGTAGCAACTTGAGGAACATCAGGCCCATCAAGTATTTGTTTTAAAACCTGCTGCATACTATCTAAATCACCAAAACTGCAATCGCGGGTGCAACGTAAAACAGCGTTAAAGGAGTAATAATCTGGTTTGATGCCTGCTTTTAGCATTTTATGCCAAGTAAGTAAGCAATGGCTAGAAAGAAAATTTTTATAAAATGACAGTAGAAATTTTCGCTATGCATAAATACCGAAAACCAAATTCCTGATCACTAGCGCAGGCTTGCAGCAAAAAATTATAAGTTTCTGTTGTGAATTCAAATCCTTTTTCCTTCATTTCATCAGCCAACAAAAAAGCGGTTTTGACGTCACCCCAGCGTCCATAAGCTTTAATCATAGCATTATAGTTTTTAACATTTGGTTCATAATTTTTCTCCAACATTATTTCTCTAAGACGATTAGCTTTATCAATTCCGTCTGTCCGATACGGAGCATTCGCACAAGCATTAAATAATGACGTATATGTGCTTTGCTTTACTTTCAATCCACGCTGACGCATTTTCGTAAACAATTGAAAAGCTTTGCGGGCATAACCTGCCTTAGCGCATCCACTAATTAGAAGATTGTAAATATAATTTTCCGGCTTAGCTCGATCCTCTTTAAGTATACGCTCCTCCAAAATATTGATTGCCTCCTTTAGGCGATGATTATTTAAGTGATCTTTTATTAAAAGGGCGTATTCTTTAGTGCGTAACTTTCTCGAATGCCTTGTAGGACTATTAATATATTCTTCCTCAACTTTGTCACCTGAATAATAATGATTAAAATATTTATAAGCGCTTTTCATATATAGAAAACTATGAAATACCCTCGTCCTCTAGCGCTTCTGTCGTCACAGCATTGCCAAATGTATCAGGATCATTATTAATTGAACTTATGGAATCGAAATGAAGGGACTTGTTCTGTTCTCTTATGTCATTTTCCGTAACTTTGAAATTTTCGGTTTGAGATTCTTTTCTTAAAGTTTCCCTTCTCGACCTTCTGCTATCGATTTTTATTGATTCCACTGGTTTAAATAGAGGCTCTTCCTGTCCCATTTGTAACTTATTCATTTCCCTTTCTTTATCAAAGCCGGCATCTTTGTCATAAGTTTTCATATGCAAGCCTTGAGAAAATATTGCTTTTGTATTATTTACTGTGAGCATATGTGTTCTATGAATTATGGGACTTGTTCTGTTTAAAACACATAATGTTCGAATAGAGCTAAACAGAAATAATCGAATCGCCATTCCTTTTGACACAGTTTTAATTTACGATCGTAGTATTAAAAAACTTACTAAAAAGTTTCTCACAATTTAGGAAAAAACTCCGCATAACCATATGACATTAATAATAAACAGGGTTGATATAATCTGAAGTAAAGCAATCAATGAAGATTCTATGTGAAAAAAGAAAATTATGGAATATTTTTATTTGAAAATAATTTTTTTTTTTTGTTTGTATTTGATATGGATTGGACCTTTTAACTTAAATTTAGATCCATAATCCAGTAACTTTATAGAAATCCATTGATGATATTCAAAATTTCGCGTGATGGTGAAATATTGATGCTTTTTTACTAAGATTTTTTTAATTTTTTGCTTTCTAGGTTATGTTTGACTCTTTATTTCTTTATTTCAATTGAGTAACACGCTGAAGTTGGTTGTGTACACCCCAACGACAGCATGAAGACTGAATTTGAAAATTAAAATAAGAAGAATTTGAAATTAAATAATACAAGAACTTTTGAAATTAAATAATACAATAATTGTCGATTCAAAACATTTGTTGAAATACAAGTTTTCAATTTTTTGGAAACACTTTTTAAATCTCCATAACTTTCAAGATTAATAAAATACACAAAGAAAAAAGAATTCAGAAATTCATAAAACGCAACTGTTAATACAATTCTGAGCACCTCTGTGCACGGTACTACTTAATTTTTTAAAAAGGAATTAGATTTCATCGAAGATGTTGTAAACATCGATAGGATTTTTTGCTGAATACTTTGGATGATTTGAGGAATTGGTACGTTTTATGATATTAGCGCGCTGCTGGTCTTTTGGGAGAACCGGAGAAGCGTACTCCCGTCCTTCTTTAAGATAATTGGAAATGTTAACAATAAAACTATCGCTTGCAGTTTGCGAATCTAATGAACGAGATGATGACGGGCTTTTGTGTTCGATTTCGTTATTATCAGTTAAGTTAATAATTTCAGTAGATTTGGATATGCTTGTTGGCGTCTTAATTTTTTTCGGTTTTGGTGAAGAAGTTTTGTTGTTATTTCGACGTTTTAGCATCGTTTTCTGCGACACTGGAGTTTTGAAAAATTTTCGTTTATTAGGTAACCCCTTTATGGGGCTGCTATCTTTCGATTCCAAAGTGTGCATTGATTGTGGTGTGTTTGCTGAATTTATATGAGCCGTATTTGTAGCATTGTTATCTTTTTCCTGTTTCACGCCATGTGGGAATAGTTCCAGTACTTCTTTCCCTACGGGGGAAGCAATTGCATTATTGCCTTTGTTGCTTTCGTTAAATGATACATTATTTCCATCTGGAAGTGTAAAAACGTCAAGAATGTTTACTCAAAACCGGAATAGTCTTTATTTTCCGTTAAGCATTAGCAACTAACCGCTTTTTTCAGCAAAAGTTGGTTCCTTCTTTGTGCCAGTATTTTCATGTAAGGAATCGGAATCACTAAATATAGCATTTTCGTTGTCAATCGTGTTGATTTTAAAATTCTCATGGAAATGTTTATTATTTGTTAGGCGATCTGCTTCCACATCCGATAGACATAAATTCACTTTGCCAAGGCGATTTAATATTTCTAATTCAGCCGAGGTGTTCGAAAATTCAATTTTCTCTTCATAACAAGCTATTAAAGCGTTTTGGCGCCTAATAAAATATATTCATTTATTACGTGTATACACATATGAAAATTGACTGAATTAATTACATGGTTATGGCTTTGATCTTTATAATAACCTGAGTCAACTTGTAACTTTCATTAACGGAAGATCGGTAACGACCTTTGAATGACATGGTACGGGGACCACAATTAAAATCCACCCAAAATTTATCAGAATTCTAAAAATAAATTCCATAAGGCAAACTTACTTTTTTAATGTTCTAAACACGATTGTAAACTTACCAAAGGTCTATAGAATTCAGTACATTTGTCGAAACGTAACGATTGACAAGTGAATGAATAAACTTTACCTTCATTATATATGTTTAAATTGTGAATGTTTAGAAGTTCTCGAGCCATCTAAAGTTGCAAAGAATTGATTAAAAATGGGATTCGTTTATTATATCCTAACTAATTTAAAAAAAAAAATTAAAGTTTAAAAAAGATTAAAAAATTGAAAGCAAGCTGCTTTCGAGCTGCTTAAACCATATAATAGAATAGATTAGACAGTCAGTTAATATATACATGCATTCTCAAATGATTTGTCGTTGATTGTTTAAATCTGTTCAGCGATGTTTATCCAACTTTTGGCTATTATACCTAAATAATATGTACAACATCAAAAATTTCCTTATCGTCGCCAGGTTAAAAATCAATACAAATTTTAACTATATTCCAATAAATCATTTTTCAATTCTTTAACTAAATACACTGGCCGCATATTAACACGCTCTGAGGGTTTTAATTTTAAAAGTGACAAACAAATGACAATTTAAAGCGGACATATACTTTTCGGCTCGAAAAATGCGAGCTTACATTAGAAGCGTGAGACGTTTTGCTCATTTATAAGTGCATTAAGCTACTTCTTCCATTTATATTTTGGAGCCAAGTATTTTTAGACTTAAGATGGTCCTCATATATTTAGGCTTATTTTTACACCGACATCTGCTTTGAAGTACGCCATGGTGTCTTGGCTGTAATGGTAGTAGTTGAGGGTGGAATGCAATTTTTTTCCAAAATCCAATCTGTGGGTGCTAACTAAAGCCACGTATTCCAAGCCTTATTTTTCTATTTTAATTTTTGCGACCGCAAGTCTGCTCTTAGCAACCGACAGACGAACAAGCGGGCGAACATGATTAAGTCCTACACTAATCAGCAGTAAACAAATGTAACGTATCCCCTCTTTCGAATGTACCTATCCTACCCATTTATATATAAATCTTTGTCAATTTCAAAATTATGTAAGCTACAAGTTCCTTTTAAAATCTTACAGTTTCGAAGGTATCCATATTGCCTTTCTGTATCATCTCGCTCAATTGATTTTCAGCTAAATTTACAGAAGTACCATGGATAGCCTTCAATTCTTCCTTTCGTTTTTTAATATCACATATTTGTAAAAGTTTCCAGATTAACTTCAATGCCAAAACTTGTGTATTAAAATCTCCGGCATGATTGATCGGATACCACAAACAAGATCTGAAAAAAAAAAAACATTTTCACTATGTTATGATCGTACCGGCTGAGCAATTCCTAAACCCACATAACTCCTACGTGTAAATCAGCCAATTTTTTGATTGAGGTTAATTGCATATTTTTTAAAAGTTCATCTATAATTTGAAGTATTGTGAAGTAATAATAGTTAACATCGTTGACCTGGCATTGCAAACATCCAATCATGTGAGTAATAACCTTTGGCGTAGACTTTTCAAATTGTGCGTTTATATTTTCATTTTTTGCGTCAAGAAAGGATTGCATTCTCTAAGAACGAAGTATATTGCATACATTTGTGAGGAAAGAATTGTTAAGAAATTGTTACAAATATTCTGTTTTGAACTCACAACTCACCAAATACAAACGACACCAAATCGTGACAACTTCAAACGTTTTGTGCTCTCCAAACTCTAAGTTTCTCGTCAAGAATTTGAAACCCTTCAGTACTTTACGTAGATTCGACGCATCCTGCAATTCAAGTACGCACGCATAAATTCTTTAAACTTACTAAAGTAAAGTATGAGAGATGTACCACTAGCTTGGAAGTGTTTAATCCATCGGCAATTATTTCAAGTTCATTTAAACTCTTAATTAACTTTCTGTCAAGGTTTTTAGCATCCATCTTAATAAATAAAATTTTATATTTGCTTATTTTGTGTTAATATGAAAATTGGATTGGATTTTGTAATCTATAACGAAAATTGAATGACAAAACAGAAACTCATCTGTCAGAAACGGTTTTTGCAAAAACTATAGCAGAAGATGGTAATACCTTAAGGAACATTAACATTTTTTATGGCGTGGCGATTGTTGTGAATTTTATATCACTGCTTGGTAACACCTTCTTAAAATATAATTATCTTTAGTTCCTTGTTAATTACATGAAAATAAGAAAAATAAAGAAGACATTTAGAAAAAATGAGCACCACTGTAGATCCAAGACGTAAAGAAAAGGTAAATCGTTACAAACCACCACAAAATCAAGGGCAAAGTGGCAGCGGTGCTAATGAAGACCTTACGCCAGATTACATGAATATCTTGGGTGAGTGCCGATCAGAGACTTCAATAACACCTTTGCATTTATTGCTTAGCTCATTGTTTGTTATTTACTATGTAGGTATGATATTTTCTATGTGTGGCTTAATGATGAAATTAAAGTGGTGTGCTTGGTTTGCTTTATATTGCTCAAGCATAAGTTTTGCAAGTTCTCGTGTTAGTGACGACGCCAAACAGGTAATGTCTACACTCTGCAATAATTCTTTCTCGAAATTTCACCTTTTCTTTTATAATATTTAAGGTCTTATCTTCGTTTATGTTAAGCGTTAGTGCGGTGGTAATGTCCTATTTGCAAAATCCCACACCGATGACACCGCCTTGGGCTGCGGTTATATAATTTATTAACTAATGAAAATTTAAAGATCTTGAATAAACTGTGAATAATCATAAGCTTATCTTAATAATTAAACTAAAAAATTTGAAATTATAGGTTTAAATTCATTCAAATATAAAAACTATTGTATCAATATTCTTATTTATAATCATATCTATGTATCTACCGGAAAAATTTTGGGTAAAATTTATTGTAGGATTTTAAGGAAGTAGTCGTCAGATTAATTAAATTTTGAGAATGCAAGACAAAGTATATATTTTTCGATAGTCCATTCCTGTTTCATTTCCGAAGAGGTTTATGCTGCAGGCCATTTAAGCAGTTGTCTTGCTGAAATTTTCCAACTGGTTCTCGCTCCTCTAACTCAGCCATTATTAACATAGCAGTAAGAACGTGGTAGTTTCTGCACTTATCAATCAATCAATTTACGTTTTATATTTATTATGGATTTACGCAGGAATGAAATGAATAATTTCAATGATCAATGAAATACGTTTTTCTTTTTTGTTATTATTATTCAAATTTCCTTTATAATCTTTAGATTATCTCACAAAATAATTTAACAAATAATATTCCTTATCCATTCTAAATTAACAATATCTCACGGCATATATGAATTAAAGTCAGTAGATGTAAAATTATCTTCAAAATTAACATTGCCGTCCATTACAATCAGCTGGTGTTTCCTTTTCCTTTAGTGATAGCTATATTAAAATATGTCTTGTGTTAGTATGCTTTTATTTTGAACAATACGCTTTAAGTGTTTTATGGCTAAGGCATTTCTATTTGTTTGTGTACGAGAATTAAGTGAGACAGAAGAAATGTTTTTCTTTTTTCGTTTGTAAGTTGGAAACAAAGAACATATATTTTAATAATGGCTTTAGGGCTTATCCTCGTTTGTTTATTTTACAATTTTTTCTACTATTCGCGATAAATGAAACATCAAAACTTCTGAGCTTAATATGTGAACGTATTAAATTTCGCCAAAATTATTGTGGCCAGTTTCTGTGGCATGTTGCGATGCCTGCGCCTGGCCCACAAGTTTGATGTCACACTGCAAACATCGTAGAGAGAAATGATCAACATTAGTGAACTGGCGGGAGGATTTTGCCTCTTTCGCCAATTGTTCAGCTTGTTGGTAGACACCCAACTCTTCTACAGGAAATATTGTGGCGGGTGCTCCGCCCTTAAAAGAATTAAGCAAATTGCATTTAGAAAATTGTATGAGCAAATAGATTGCCGTAAAGTTATCATATCAAGTTTATATTTACGTTTAGGTACTTACCACCTCATTTTCCATATATAACGGATCATAATGTATGCCGTCAAATAGTAGAAAAACTCTCAGTCCATAATTTCTATCTTCGCCAAAACGATTAATTATAGCATTTTGAATATCGACAACATCGATTTCAATGCCATAATAACTGGAAAGTATTGCCACTTCAATTGCTCCACCCCACGAATCAGGCTTTTGTATCCAAGCACAATATTCTGAATTCGATTTACCTAGAACAGCATCACTATATTGCTGCGGATCGGCCGCCACTTCTTGAGCAATAATGTGACGCATCATTTCACTGCCTTCGTTATCTATTTTTCCATTCAATACAAAACGTATGCTTGTAAATAGGCAAGAATTATCAGCCGGTACAACACGTTTCATTAAAACGCCATTGAAATTACCGCTGGATCCTGGTGGCAATTGAACCCGACTACCCTCTTCGTCGGCTTCCACCACTTGACGTAACTGTTCTTGCTCTTCCTCTTCTTGCAGGCGACGTGCTAACGCTTCGTCCTCCTCGAGAGACTGTTGGATTGCGTTAAATTCGGGCTTTTCTTCGATGATAAGCGTTTCACCACTGCATATGCCCGTCGATTCTAAACTTCTTTGCGTATCGTGTGTGATATCCAATGGACGCGGTGGAAAGCCGACTAGTATGTTCAATTGTGGTTCGTTAATTTGCGTCATTTGCGCTATACGAGCTTTCAAATCTGCCACCGTCGTCGAATTATTCAAGTCCTTGACAATGAATTGACCTTTTTTCGATTTTAATTTTAAACTAAATGTTGAACCAGTCATTTTGCCTTTATTTTCTGACTGTATATATTTAAAATTTCTTTGTTCCCTATAATTACTACACACGTTTTATATTTGCTGATTGTAATTTATAAGATATTGTTGAGAAATTTTTCTTTTTAAATAATTTTGATCTTAATTTTCTTTTCGTTAACCAAAAAAAAAAAAAAAAACTATTAAAAAATCACAAATTCTTTAGCAGTAGTCTAATGTTGCCAGGAGTTTTAAATTTGTATTCACAACTCATTTACGTTGCGTTTACGTTAAGTACGATAAGATGGCTAAGCTTTACACCAGGTGTTCAAATTTTTAAGATACTACAGAACCATGCCTATGCAGACAAATGTTAACGAGATATTTTTGTGTCATAGCCAACATCTGATTCTGCCACATTTAATTGAATGTGCTCATTATTTTCGAAATTAGACAAGAGACGCATTCTCAATTAAAGTAATATTTCAATACTTTTTTCGTGCTTTTCACTTTCGATTCTATTGAAATAGGAAGGAAGAAAGTAATATCCTTCTAAGTAGACATAAATGGTAGAGTATTCTTAATGATGGATGATTCTTAATATAAATTGGGAACTGTTTGCAAAAAAAATTGTCTTTAAGATGTATTTATTTTTTCATATTATTTTTGATACATTACTTTTAAAAATTGTAAAACAGCGATATGATCATTTATTGAATGAACGTAATAAACTTTTTTGCTAAAAATAAAAATTATACAAATTATCAAATCAAGGATAGTTTCAATATTATTAATTTTACTATTTTTTTCTACAGATTCTGCCAATTATTTTTTAACGAATCGGGAAAATATACCTGATTGCGTTTATGGATTAAGTTTCTTAAGTTGTCTGAAACTAACATAATTTATATATTTTTTAGGTTATATAGATAAGATTATATAAAGTTTTTAGCTTTTTTAGTTTTATTTGTTTGTTACAACGGTTATAAGATTCGTATTACATTTGTTGAAGTATGTTTGTAAGATGTAAAAATAAGCCTGTTAAATCACATAGAGTATTTATTTCTAATCAAAAATGCAATTTAGAAACAGAAATCAACGTTTTTCATATTTATAATTGTTTTCCTAAACAAAAAATTTTATAATTTTGCGACATAGAAATCAGCTGTTTTTCAAAGAATATAATTTTGTCTAATTGGTACGTATAATGTATGTGAAACTCGTTTGGGAATAACAGGGATTTTTCAAAGTCAATTGTTACCAGCTCTTAGAAATCACAGGGTAAGCATATTAAGATTATTGTTTTGTGAAAAATAAGTGTTTAGTGCAAAAACGGTTTCATTTAAAAATTATTTTGCATTTTAAATTTATATAAGTATATGCATATAAGTAATATATTCTGTAGCATTATTTGTTTCTATAAATTTATATAAATATTAACCAAAGAATAAAATCTTTTTCAGCAATTTCAGTTTCAAAAATATTTCTTGATTATCTGTAGGGTGAATGTATTCCGAATTAGATCCTTGTACATCTGGATGTAATATTGACTCGTCCACTGGTACGGCATAGACAGCGACAATATTTATTATTAAAAACGTAAGTAATGACTAAAAAACAATTAATTAAACGCGTTTTTTAAAAGTTTCTTATAAGAAGAGCTAAGATCGCACATACCAAATGCAGGAAATTCATATTGCTATTTTTTTTTGTTTTTAAACTAGTTCCTTAGTTTACAAAGAAATAATGTTTCGAAAAAACCGTATAACCGACTGTTGAAAGCAAAACCAACTGACATTGAATTTACTTAGGGTTTCAGTATTTATAGCGCCGTTAACAAATTTTTATTCCAAGCTTGCTAAACGACGTTGACATAATTCAGTAAAATATAAAAATAAAATACGCAAATAAATAAATGAATAAAAAACAAATGTATCTTCTCAATAAAAAAAAAAAAAGAAAGAAAAATGAAAAAAAAAAAAACAGCCCTGCCTCACTACGAAGAAGTTTACATGTAAATGTATGTGAATGCGAACCAAATATTTCTATACAGAAAACTTTTGATGTATGCGCGCATTTCATAGAAACCCCTTACAAAAACGCTTGACTAACAGCATGACTATGAATGTATGCTGATTTTATCGTCGAAAATACCTACAAAACAAAGGAATCACAATACTCATGCAGTTCAAATCATTAGTTTTTGTTGTTGTGTTTAATGATGCTTCAATGTTGTGATGTTGTGTATATATATATATATATATATATATATATATATATATATATATGTATGCAAGTTTAAATCTATAAGTGTATTTGTTCACATTTTGCTAATTTGCTAAATACTTTGGAGGGTATTTTATTTACGATCGGTAATGAATAATTAGTACTTTTATTGATAATAAACTTAATAAATCAAAGCATACATACATATATCGGCATTCGTTGATAATTGCTTCGAATTTACGAAGTTAGTTTAAATCTGTATTCGTAGATAGGCTCGGTTTTTCTATACTGAAGATTTAAAGGAAACGTTTCTGAACATTAGAGCATAGGGTAACGGATGGTGGCAACATAAAATCGGCAAGACACGACAGTATCGTCAAATTGTTTCACCTAAGGCGCTAACTTAGTTTGGATTGGCATTTCCCATAAGCCTTTCGCCTCAAATTCTGTCTATAGTTTTTGGCGTGAGGTGGAACTTGAAAGTTTATCTAATGTACCCCTAGCTTTGCTTTGCTATCAGGGTAGCAAAATTCTAATAATTCGAAATCTATTTCATAATACCGCTAACATAGCAATTCTTCTATTATTACGTATTTTAATGAGAATTGTTTGTCCTGTTTTACCTTAATTATGTTTCCCTTCGTTCATAATCATAAGTATATGCTATGCTGTGAGTGCGTTCAATAATACCAATTAGGGCTAATATATGACGAACTGCTCTAGTAATTTAATAAAAACAAGTAAACTTCGTGGTTCATAATCGGTAAGTTTGAACCATAACATATTTAAAAATTATATCTTTTTTATCATGTACAGATTCAGGTTTCGAAGGAACGATTATAAGAGAGGGAGTTCAAAAAACGACTCCAACCATTTCAAATTTTTCATACTAATTGAGAATATCGAAATACTATTACCCAGGGCCTTTTGTCGAGCAAGCTGGGAAAATTGCAATTCTGGAAAAATGTATCGATCCGAACAATTTTTAATAGAGTTCGTCCTTGGTTCGTCAAAGCATGCCAGTATACCAAAATTCATAAAAATATCTCAAAAATTGCGACCTGCAGCTTGACAGACAGGCTAAGATCGATTTACAAAATGATTTTGAATCGATCGACATAATACTCCGTACGGGCAATTTTAATATACTCTGTACCGCGAATGGTCCAGGGTATAAATATAATTTGTGAATAAACGAAAATGTGAGATACGACATACGATCAGTGAGCGTATCGTGCGAATGTATGTTGCGATCAGAGGTATCGTAGACCTTACCATACCAGAACGGCTTTATGGCACTGGTTTAAGAAAATTTATTTTATATTTAAATTTTTTATATCCATTCTCGAGTCTAATGTCGCTTGCGATATTTCCGTGAACAAAATGCTATATTAACCTTGAAAAAATCGCAACGTCTTACTTACTTAGTTACCACAACATTTATAATAGAGTTCTCTGAACATTGAACAATGCTTGCCCATAAGTAGATGTATAGGTGCGACACAAAATCTACTCGATCTAAACACCGATGATGGGCAACAAAGAACGCCTGTCAACGCCATTCATTATCGATGTTTTAATTGAAGTATGGTAGTGCGTATGGTAGGAACGTTCAGAGAACTGGGAGCTGGGAGTCATGTCCGCACACCTAACTTTTTAATATCTCTAAAAATTTAACACATGTCATCACGAATGTAGACATACATGCCCAGACAAACATGAAAACACAAGTTTATATGTAAAATGTTTTTTTTTTTTAAATATTGTTTATGTGCTTTTTGTAGCCATAATTCGATGATTAGAAAATAGAAAACCTGTTTTTGCGCCTACCTTGGCCAGTATCAACCAACCAGCCAACTACAAATGTAGATAAATTTATTCGTTAAGTTCATAAAACTGTTGGTCAAGTTGAGAGTCTAAGTTCATATGTGAACATGTCTGTAGGAAACCATGTAAACGATAAAAAAAGAAGAGAAAACGCAATAGTAGGAGGCGGCCCACCATTCAGCACCCTACACAACTTCGTTTCGAATTCTCGAATTAAGACTTTATATGGGGAGTGGTCGGTAAAATGCTTCGATCCAAGCCATTTTCAATAGTGTTTGCCTTTGGGTCAAAACACGTCGATGTACCACATTTTATCAAAATATGGCGAAAATTGCGATATGTAAGTTAAACATAAGAAAATCAGATAAAAAGACGGACAGACAAGTCCGTTAGTGATTCTGAATCGATCGGTATAATAAAAGATGGGTCCGCCTCAATTGCTTTTGAACGTTGCATACATCCTCAAAAATTAATAGACCCTTGTACGGCAAGTCGTATACGGTGTGGCAACAAAACAAATATATGTTTACAAACATATATATAGATGGGTAAGATAGAAAGAAATTTTCAAGACAAAAAAATTGAAATAAAAAATAGGCATAGATTCATTTAATATTATTCATAGATAGACGGACGGAGAGATGGATAGATAAGCTCGAGATAAATGACGTCACGGGAAATTAATCGGCGAAGCGAATCGATTGAGGCGAATCTAAGGGCTGAGCCATTTCGACAAGTACGGAGAGAAATGAAAGAACTAAAGTTCAAGAATCAATAACTTATAGTTAGCTTAGTGAAAGAGCTTAGCTAGTAGTGAATAACCTGTGAAAGATGACAACTACACTCAGGAAAGTTCATTACGGTTGATCTTACTTCTACAAAGCCATGTTGGATTTCTTAATAACGGAAACGTTTCTACCTTTGCGTAGCGGAAGAAAGCGGAGAAAACGATCGTTTCTAACGTAAAGTAAAAACGCTTGAATTCGGAGAAAGTTATACACGAGCACTTAAGACGCTGCAATTTTGGCAAAAATTTTAAGTGTTTGTCGTTTATAAGGTGGTTTGAAATTTAATTAACTTAAATTGTTTTCATGTTTTGTGTATGATTTACATATGTTTGCAAATATTAAGTTTGCAGGATTGCTTTAAACCGGTTTCATTATGGAATATACTCAATTTACCTTACACCACTTATGGTACGGGTATATTAAGTTTTAAGTGGATGACTTAGGCCGTTAAGGCAGACACACTTATTATTATTCCGATATTGAATCGATCTAAGCTTCTCCGTCTCTGTGTTTGTTCATCTGATGTCTCTTCACGTATTCTTGTTTTCGATCTGGACCAACGCCCTATTTTGAAAAGTCATTAAAATCGCTTAGTAGTATTATTATGGCATTACCAAAAATTTCCATCTTTTAGGGTAATGTTTTGAATGCCTTCTAAATAGCCAACGCTCCAAGGAAAATCCTAAATCTTTGTAGGGTAAAAAAGTCGAATTTTTGATATTTCTTGGTAAAAATTGGTCCGCAATAGTCATTTTTGCATTGAAATGAACCTTGCCGAATTTGGACTATGTAGCTCCATTTTTTGGACCCCATACCCGATGTAAGAATTGTCATGAAAAATAAGACTTTAGATAGCAAAAATGCCCAATATTTTATGATCAAAATTATTAAATGTTTTGAAACGCATTCTTAATAATCAAATTTGAATCATATGGGTCCACTTTTTTCGATCTCTTTTCATATAGGGGTTCTCATGAACGCAAAGTCTTTCGGTAAAAGAAAAATTAAATTTTTTAAACTTTGTAATGAGCCATTTTGGAAGTTGGGATCATATTGATCTTTGACTCTATGATTCTTTGGACTCATGGGATCATATTGATCTTTGACTCTATGATTCTTTGGACTCTATCTCATGCGTGTGAGGTTGTCGTGTCAAAAGTATGCCCTTCCATATTTCAAAACGAGGAAAATTAAGTTTTCTAAATTTGTCATTCATGTCAGTTTTTCGAACATCGTTCAGTGTAAGGGCTTTCATGAGAGAGAGAGAGAGATTATGATCTTACATGAAAATGATGTACAATTTTTGGTGTATTATTACGAAAGTGAATGAATAACTGTATGAACTGTGTGAAATCACTGTAGAGTATTTAATGATCGACCTCGACTGACTATAATTTACTTAATTACTTGTTTTCATTTATTTATTTTTACCTACAATCTTTCACTAATTACTTGTACACAGAAATTGTGAACCTTCAAAATTACCAAGTATTGGCAATAGAATAGTGAATATACACTAAACTCAATTTCATGCGATTTGATTCTATGTACAGTACAGTGCAGTATAGTACAGTAGTTGCCTAAGCTTTCATATATTTCTTGTAGTAGAAAGGCGGCGATGTGAAGACATAAGTATTATAAGTCTTATCACTGGCGCCTTAAACATAGAGGATAGAGGACATCAGGTTCGCTGCACGAATATTCTAGTGGGCACTCACCCACCCGCTCTTAAGTATTAATAAGCTTATCCAGACAATTATTGGCTATAAAAAGGCATTAATATGGGATAAGGTGTAATCATGTCTTAATGAAAATAACAGAGATTTTGTCAAGTTTTTTATTAAAGTTTAGTGTGACCAAGCCGATTATTACATTGCGTCCATTTGGCTGCAATTAATAGGCAATTCCG